AAATGTGTAACTGGACTACTTATTTGAAGTGACACCAGGCCCGGTGACCTTTGGGACATGGTTTGACCCCCTATAGGAATGTGTGATCATCATGAAACGTTCAGATCACTTACAACTCGATAGATTCTACCTTCTTGTAACGTTTCAGCCTGATTGGACCTTGTTTTCACACAAATGAGCCCAGAATGATGTGAAATTGTGCTTCGTGCAACATAATTCTGGGTGCCATTTAAAAACCATAAGTGCTAATGACTCCCTTCCTTTTTGGGGTAATGGGGGCTGTTAATTGGAGTACTCTAAAACAAACCTGACCTCTCTAGGATATTCAGAAGCCAAGTTATAAGCCCACAAATGTGTAACTGGACTACTTCTTTAAAGTGACACCAGGCCCGGTGACCTTTGGGACATGGTTTGACCCCCTATAGGAATGTGCGATCATCATGAAACGTTCAGATCACTTACAACTCAATAGATTCTACCTTCTTGTAACGTTTCAGCCTGATTGGACCTTGTTTTCACACAAATGAACCTAGAATGATGTGAAATTGTGCTTCGTGCAACATAATTCTGGGTGCCATTTAAAAACCATAAGTGCTAATGACTCCATTCCTTTTTGTGGTTGTAGGGGCTCTTGATTGGAGTACACTAAAACAAACCTGATCTCTCTAGGACATTCAGAAGCCAAGTTATAAGCCCACAAATGTGTAACTGGACTACTTCTTTAAATTGACACCAGATCCGGTGACCTTTGGGACATGGTTTGACCCCCTTAGGAAAGTGCTATCATCATGAAACGTTCATATCACTTACAACTCAATAGATTCTACCTTCCTGTAACGTTTCTGCCTGATTGGACCTTGTTTTCACACAAATGAACCCAGAATGATGTGAAATTGTGCTTCGTGCAACAGAATTCTGGGTGCCATTTAAAAACCATAAGTGCTAATGACTCCATTCCTTTTTGGGGTAATGGGGGCTGTTAAATGGAGTACACTAAAACAAACCTGACCTCTCTAGGATATTCAGAAGCCAAGTTATAAGCCCACAAATGTGTAACTGGACTACTTCTTTAAAGTGACACCAGGCCCGGTGACCTTTGGGACATGGTTTGACCCCCTATAGGAATGTGCCATCATCATGAAACGTTCAGATCACTTACAACTCAATAGATTCTACCTTCTTGTAACGTTTCAGCCTGATTGGACCTTGTTTTCACACAAATGGACCCAGAATGATGTGAAATTGTGCTTCGTGCAACATAATTCTGGGTGCCATTTACAAACCATAAGTGCTAATGACTCCATTCATTTTTGTGGTTGTAGGGGCTGTTGATTGGAGTACACTAAAACAAACCTGATCTCTCTAGGACATTCAGAAGCCAAGTTATAAGCCCACAAATGTGTAACTGGACTACTTCTTTAAAGTGACACCAGGCCTGGTGACCTTTGGGACATGGTTTGACCCCCTATAGGAATGTGAGATCATCATGAAACGTTCATATCACTTACAACTCAATAGATTCTACCTTCTTGTAACGTTTCAGCGTGATTGGACCTTGTTTTCACACAAATGAACCCAGAATGATGTGAAATTGTGCTTCGTGCAACATAATTCTGGGTGCCATTTAAAAACCATAAGTGCTAATGACTCCATTCCTTTTTGTGGTAATGGGGGCTGTTAATTGGAGTACTCTAAAACAAATCTGACCTCTCTAGGATATTCAGAAGCCAAGTTATAAGCCCACAAATGTGTAACTGGACTACTTCTTTAAAGTAACACCAGATCCGGTGACCTTTGGGACATGGTTTGACCCCCTTAGGAAAGTGCTATCATCATGAAACGTTCAGATCACTTACAACTCAATAGATTCTACCTTCCTGTAACGTTTCAGCCTGATTGGACCTTGTTTTCACACAAATGAACCCAGAATGATGTGAAATTGTGCTTCGTGCAACATAATTCTGGGTGCCATTTAAAAACCATAAGTGCTAATGACTCCATTCCTTTTGGGGGTAATGGGGGCTGTTAATTGGAGTACTCTAAAACAAACCTGATCTCTCTAGGACATTCAGAAGCCAAGTTATAAGCCCACAAATGTGTAACTGGACTACTTCTTTAAAGTGACACCAGGCCTGGTGACCTTTGGGACATGGTTTTACCCCCTATAGGAATGTGCGATCATCATGAAACGTTCAGATCACTTACAACTCCATAGATTCTACCTTCTTGTAACGTTTCAGCCTGATTGGACCTTGTTTTCACACAAATGAACCCAGAATGATGTGAAATTGTGCTTCGTGCAACATAATTCTGGGTGCCATTTACAAACCATAAGTGCTAATGACTCCATTCCTTTTTGGGGTAATGGGGGCTGTTATTTGGCATACTCTAAAACAAACCTGACCTCTCTAGGATATTCAAAAGCCAAGTTATAAGCCCACAAATGTGTAACTGGACTACTTCTTTGAAGTGACACCAGGCCCGGTGACCGTTGGGACATGATTTGACCCCCTATAGGAATGTGCGATCATCATGAAACGTTCAGATCACTTACAACTCAATAGATTCTACCTTTCTGTAACGTTTCAGCCTGATTGGACCTTGTTTTCACACAAATGAACCCAGAATGATGTGAAATTGTGCTTCTTGCAACATAATTCTGGGTGCCATTTAAAAAACATAAGTGCTAATGACTCCATTCCGTAATGGGGGCTGTTAATTGGAGTACTCTAAAACAAATCTGACCTCTCTAGGATATTCAGAAGCCAAGTTATAAGCCCACAAATGTGTAACTGGACTACTTCTTTAAAGTGACACCAGATCCGGTGACCTTTGGGACATGGTTTGACCCCCTATAGGAATGTGCGATCATCATGAAACGTTCAGATCACTTACAACTCAATAGATTCTACCTTCTTTTAACGTTTCAGCCTCATTGGACCTTGTTTTCACACAAATGGACCCAGAATGATGTGAAATTGTGCTTCGTGCAACATAATTCTGGGTGCCATTTACAAACCATAAGTGCTAATGATTCCATTTCTTTTTTGTTGTAGTAGGGGCTGTTGATTGGAGTACATTAAAACAAACCTGATCTCTCTAGGACATTCAGAAGCCAAGTTATAAGCCTGGTGTAACTGGACTACTTCTTTAAAGTGACACCAGCCCCGGTGACCTTTGGGACATGGCTTGACCCCCTATAGGAATGTGCGATCATCATGAAACATTCAGATCACTTACAACTCAATAGATTCTACGGTAACACTTTATAATAAGTGCACACTATTAAGCATTAGTTAATCATCAGTAAAGCATTGGTTAATGGTTATTTAATCATTTGTAAAGCATCTGCAAAAAGATGATCATAATTACTTAACAGCTTACAAGCACCACTATTAAGGCTTTATTCATGATGAAGAAGCTACTGTGTCACACTTTTATTCATGATGTTTCATGATCTATAAGTCATTGATTAATCATTTATAAACTCTGCTCTCCATCATTTACAAACCAGTCCTTTCATGATGTAAAACAGCATACAACCCCATTGATAAAGGGTAAGTAAATAGTTAACATACCGTATTTAATACTATAAACTAAACATTTACTACACATACTAGAGTCTCACTAGATGTTTTCTAAACACTGAATCTCACGACTACATCAGTCAGCTACTAAATGTTAACAGATGTCTTACAATACATTTACAATTGTCACTTGACGGCTTCCAAAGATGCAGCTCCCTACCGACCCACTTCTTTTTAAATAGATAATCTATCAATTATTATAAATACATTAATAAACTACTTTAGAACGTTACAAACCATTTACCACTTCTTAGTTAAGTATTTTGAGTGAGCTCATCTAAAGTGGAGACTATATATACCTTACAACCTATTAATAAATGTGAAAGTTTTTCAAAATACATTGTAATAAAAAATAAAGGACAGCACAGATACAGAAAGCACTTTATTTTTAAGATGCCAATTATAAAACATCAAAACAATGCTTACAAATACTGACACACAACTGTCAAAACAAACATTGTGCTGAACCACTATTAGCCAGTATTTGAAGTAAAGAACAAGGCTCAATGCACTTTTATGAATTGTATGTTTTTACATGAAATGCTGAAAATATTTTCAAAAGGTGAAAAAAAAAACTGCAGTTGCAACAGTAACTTTTTTATCTGTATTTTTTTTAAATGTCATATATCAGTCTCCCTAAAGCACCCTGTTTGTGCTTTTTTGCAAGCCATTCGTTCCACTCAATAAATGTAAGGTGTTCTGATAGTAGGCTGTCATTTCTGTTACCCCGGAGTCTCCAAATTCTCTCCTTGTAAGACCTCCAGGCTCTCTCCAGATGTTGGGTATGGGCACCTGTTAGAGGGTCCACATACCATCTGCTGTGGTTAACAGTATAATGTCCATAACCTACGTTTGGGAGAATGCGATACGCCCGCCATTCATCACTTATCACCAAGGAACCAATCCTGACATGAAGAGTGATCAGAGGAACAAGATGTCTTCGAGATCTTTTCTCCACAAGACGCAAGATAGGCCTTGTTTTACGCAGATTTTTTTATGCCCAGCATTCCGAACACCCACTTTCTTCTTTTCCAGCCCCCTGCCATTCTTCCTCTCCCATACTGATGCAGAAAGACAACAATTAAGACAAATGGCAAAAAAGTGCTGTGAAAGGTTGTCATATAGATGTAATATATAATTTCTATTACAAAACTTACCTTTCGTTTGCGATGAAAATGACTCTCATCGATCACAACAAACTCCCTTCGGCCACCAATCTGCTGACCTGTACGACATTTCATTCTTTGAACTGCAGCCACACATACCCTCCTTAATTTTTTGGACATTTTACTAAGTGTTGTTGTACTGCCTGCAATGGTGTCATCCATCATGTCAATTTGACGTAATCTGAGACCCTGAGAGAATCTTCAGGGAGAAAAATAACATCCTTACAAAGAGTCATTTAAATTTAGTTCCTTTTTGTGTAGTGTTTATGCTTACCTGTAGATAGATTGCATCCAGTGTTGATGTGAGACTTTCGAACGGCTGAAAAGGGACTTGTGTCTGACAGAGATTTGTTTAACGCGTCCACCATGTGCTGCTCCTCGACAGATCCTATTTAAAAATTGTTACATGAAAAAAAATATATGTATCATTATACGCAGTGAGTTACTTAAGTAAGAAAAAAGCATTCTGTATTTAGGGGTGGAACATCCCTTTCAAGAGATGTCCCTGTTTGCTCTGTTTCAATGAGGATTTAGGTAAAAAACCAAATAATAACAATGACTTTTACAGTAAGTACCCCGGTTATTATGGCGTCCTACAAAAATAAAAAATGCATTTCATACCAGGCATATTGGTCTCCGTTGTTCACCCTTTTCTTCAGTTTTGTTTCCTGGTGGCATACTTTGCATTTCATTTTTCTTTTAAGCAGTTTAATCTTCTGAAGATGTTTTATAAGCTTCAGTGGGCCTCTTCTAGAAAGCTCCTCGTTACTTAATTTTTTCAGTCGTGTAAAATTTCCCATTTTTGGCCAAAATATCATTTAATGAGTTTCCAGTTATGCTAGCTCTGAGCTGTAATGTCGCTTCTGGCCAGAGAAAGGCGCGCATTTGCTGCTTCCGTCTTCCGACGTGACCAATAGGAGACCGCGATGCTGTGCCCTTTCACCTCTAGGGCATAACCAAGGTGGAGTAATGGCTTCCTCTAGCTCTGTGAACATGACGAGCCCTGGTCGATCTACAATAGGCAGGCGAACGAGGGCAAAAAAGGGAAGTAACGACGTGGACAAGGTGGATGTCAGTGTTACAAGTGGTGAGTGTTTTGCACTTTTTTGTGTTTGGTTATTTTGTTGGAAAAAACTACCATCACGGGGCTAGGCGCTAACCGCTAATAAGCGGTTAGCTTAGCTTTCAACTTACATTCAAGCTCCACAACAGCAATGTGCAGTGTATGTTACTAGTTATTTTTGTGACCCAGTTAAAGGAATAATTAAGGATTATTGCTTTTGGAATATCTCTGGGCTGCTATTAGTTGTGCTTTCTGCAATTTAGTTTGTCATTCTGTAGCTTTTTTGATGCATGTCTATGCAATAGAAATATGCAATAAATGCTCTACATTATACAGTCTAATACAATATATTTGAAATACATTAATATATAATTATTGTCAAGTAAGCAAGTTTCTAAAAACAACTTAATATAATTTGTAATTTTACCACAGCAGGCTATCATTGCAATGATTTTACTGTTATTCATGTATTACAAACTATTATGATTGCATTTTCTGCACTTGTTGTTTAATCAGTTGTTAGTTGTATTAATAGCCTAGTTTCTTTTTGTTTTTAATTTTCGCTAGGTGTGACTATTGCTCCAACTGCACAGCTGACAGACAGAAGACGATCACAAGAGGTGGAGATCTGTAAGATGAAGCTAGAGTGGCAAAAGGATTAGATTGATGAGCTCACCAAAGAAAGAGACTATCTAAAGGAGCAATTAGCAGCATGTAAGTCCACTATTAAAAACATTACATAGCATGACAAATACTTTATTTGCTTTAGCATTTACATAAGCATTCTGTTCTGTAACTTTGTCTGTGTTGTATGTTTAACTGTTTTACTAGGTCTCACAAAAGAACCCACAAGGTCTGTCCAGCATCCCAGTGACGTACTGAGCATGTCTTCGCTTTCCTCTGACGGGTCATTTGATAAGGGTTCTGACTCCTCCACGAGCACAACTTCATCAGATGAAGACAGTCAGAAGAGGAAGAAGAAAGGCAAAGCCAAAAAGAATAAGAAGTCAAAGAAACATGACCAAATTGCAAGAACAAGGTATAGTGATTAAATCTTTCTATAATTTGATCCTACATGCTGTATTGTACTGCTGTTCCTCTGAGTTGGTTATGTTATTTAACCCTTCTAGTGTCCCTAGAGACTTATGTGTGACTAAAATTAAATAATCTTTCATAAATTCCAGTTTTTAGATTGCTTTCATCCTTAGCTTGAAAACTCACAAATGTAATAAAGTAGAGCTGGCATGTCTGCGGGGGCTCTTTCCGACGCCCATACAGTATAAAAATGCAAATGACGACTTTAGTCGTCATTGGCAGTTAATGAGTAAATTTAGAAATATGTGTGTTACATCCCTACACTATTACATAAAATTAATAATCTCAATATAACACATTTGTTCTCTAAATTGCAGCCCAGAATCCCAAACAAGTGGTCACCCGGTATGAGAGGATTTTGAGGCTGTTCAAAAGAGGAGGGACCATGTCAGCTGCCTTTAAACGTCTGGGAGTGGACCGAAACACAATTGTGGCAACTGCTCCAATTGCTGAGCTTTTCATTGTCGCACCTGATAGGTATAAAGAATTAGAAAAAAACAAACAGGGAAAGAAACTGTCATTGTTTGCAACACAGTGTGCTGCAGCAATCAGTGCACATCCAGAAATAGAGGACAAACGTGAGTCCTATAAGTCTTCTGGGAAGTTGCTTCCTCTTAAAAAAAAGACTAGATTTGAGTGGGTTTTTTTACATTGTGAAATGTGGTGATAGGTCACCATTGTTAACTGCAAAAAGGGCCAGATTTAGTTATGTAGTCCAGTTGATTGGCAGATTGGTGTGATAAAAAAAGACACACTCTATTTTTGGTTTGCATGACTTTTATTATTTTTTACTGTTAGATTTTATGTTTATTTTAAAGATCACACATGTGATACATTTCATGTAAAAACATGCAATTCATAAAAGTGCATCGAGCCTTGTTCTTTACTTCAAATACTGGCTAATAGTGGTTCAGCACAATGTTTGTTTTGACAGTTGTGTGTCAGTATTTGTAAGCATTGTTTTGATGTTTTATAATTGGCATCTTAAAAATAAAGTGCTTTCTGTATCTGTGTTGTCCTTTATTTTTTATTACAATGTATTGAAAAACTTTCACATTTATTAATAGGTTGTAAGGTATATATAGTCTCCACTTTAGATGAGCTCACTCAAAATACTTAACTAAGAAGTGGTAAATGGTTTGTAACGTTCTAAAGTAGTTTATTAATGTATTTATAATAATTGATAGATTATCTATTTAAAAAGAAGTGGGTCGGTAGGGAGCTGCATCTTTGGAAGCCGTCAAGTGACAATTGTAAATGTATTGTAAGACATCTGTTAACATTTAGTAGCTGACTGATGTAGTCGTGAGATTCAGTGTTTAGAAAACATCTAGTGAGACTCTAGTATGTGTAGTAAATGTTTAGTTTATAGTATTAAATAGGGTATGTTAACTATTTACTTACCCTTTACCAGTGGGGTTGTATGCTGTTTTACATCATGAAAGGACTGGTTTGTAAATGATGGAGAGCAGAGTTTATAAATGATTAATCAATGACTTATAGATCATGAAACATCATGAATAAAAGTGTGACACAGTAGCTTCTTCATCATGAATAAAGCCTTAATAGTGGTGCTTGTAAGCTGTTAAGTAATTATGATCATCTTTTTGCAGATGCTTTACAAATGATTAAATAACCATTAGCCAATGCTTTACTGATAATTAACTAATGCTTAATAGTGTGCACTTATTATATAGTGTTACCGATTCTACCTTCTTGTAATGTTTCAGCCTGATTGGACCTTGTTTTCACACAAATGAACCCAGAATGATGTGAAATTGTGCTTCGTGCAACATAATTCTGGGTGCCATTTAAAAAACATAAGTGCTAATGACTCCATTCCTTTTTGTGGTAATGGGGGCTGTTAATTGCAGTACTCTAAAAAAAAACCTGACCTCTCTAGGATATGCAGAAGCCAAGTTATAAGCCCACAAAGGTGTAACTGGACTACTTCTTTAAATTGACACCAGATCCGGTGACCTTTGGGACATGGTTTGACCCCCTTAGGAAAGTGCTATCATCATGAAACGTTCAGATCACTTACAACTCAATAGATTCTACCTTCCTGTAACGTTTCAGCCTGATTGGACATTGTTTTCACACAAATGAACCCAGAATGATGTGAAATTGTGCTTCGTGCAACATAATTCTGGGTGTCATTTAAAAACCATAAGTGCTAATGACTCCATTCCTTTTTGTGGTTGTAGGGGCTGTTGATTGGAGTACACTAAAACAAACCTGATCTCTCTAGGACATTCAGAAGCCAAGTTATAAGCCCACAAAGGTGTAATTGGACTACTTCTTTAAATTGACACCAGATCCGGTGACATTTGGGACATGGTTTGACCCCCTTAGGAAAGTGCTATCATCATGAAACGTTCAGATCACTTACAACTCAATAGATTTTACCTTCCTGTAACGTTTCAGCCTGACTGGACCTTGTTTTCACACAAATGAACCCAGAATGATGTGAAATTGTGCTTTGTGCAACATAATTCTGGGTGCCATTTAAAAACCATAAGTGCTAATGACTCCATTCCTTTTTGTGGTAATGGGGGCTGTTATTTGGAGTACTCTAAAACAAACCTGACCTCTCTAGGATATTCAGAAGCCAAGTTATAAGCCCACAAATGTGTAACTGGACTACTTCTTTAAATTGACACCAGATCCGGTGACCTTTGGGACATGGTTTGACCCCCTAACGGAATGTGCGATCATCATGAAACGTTCAGATCACTTACAACTCAATAGATTCTACCTTCTTGTAACGTTTCAGCCTGATTGGACCTTGTTTTCACACAAATGGACCCAGAATGATGTGAAATTGTGCTTCGTGCAACATAATTCTGGGTGCCATTTACAAACCATAAGTGCTAATGACTCCATTCCTTTTTGTGGTTGTAGGGGCTGTTGATTGAAGTACACTAAAACAAACCTGATCTCTCTAGGACATTCAGAAGCCAAGTTATAAGCCCACAAATGTGTAACTGGACTACTTCTTTAAAGTGACACCAGGCCCGGTGACCTTTGGGACATGGTTTTACCCCCTATAGGAATGTGCGATCATCATGAAACGTTCAGATCACTTACAACTCAATAGATTCTACCTTCTTGTAACGTTTCAGCCTGATTAGACCTTGTTTTCACACAAATGGACCCAGAATGATGTGAAATTGTGCTTCGTGCAACATAATTCTGGGTGCCATTTACAAACCATAAGTCCTAATGACTCCATTCCTATTTGTGGTTGTAGGGGCTGTTGATTGGAGTACAATAAAACAAACCTGATCTCTCTAGGACATTCAGAAGCCAAGTTATAAGCCCACAAAGGTGTAACTGGACTACTTCTTTAAAGTGAGACCAGGCCCGGTGACCTTTGGGACATGGTTTGACCCCCTATAGGAATGTGCGATCATCATGAAACGTTCAGATCACTTACAACTCAATAGATTCTACCTTCTTGTAACGTTTCACCCTTATTGGACCTTGTTTTCACACAAATGAACCCAGAATGATGTGAAATTGTGCTTCGTGCAACATAATTCTGGGTGCCATTTACAAACCATAAGTGCTAATGACTCCATTCCTTTTTGTGGTTGTAGGGGCTGTTGATTGGAGTACACTTAAACAAACCTGATCTCTCTAGGACATTCAGAAGCCAAGTTATAAGCCCACAAATGTGTAACTGGACTACTTCTTTAAAGTGACACCAGGCCTGGTGACCTTTGGGACATGGTTTTACCCCCTATAGGAATGTGCGATCATCATGAAACGTTCAGATCACTTACAACTCAATAGATTCTACCTTCCTGTAACGTTTCAGCCTGATTGGACCTTGTTTTCACACAAATGGACCCAGAATGATGTGAAATTGTGCTTCGTGCAACATAATTCTGGGTGCCATTTACAAACCATAAGTGCTAATGATTCCATTCCTTTTTGTGGTAGTAGGGGCTGTTGATTGGAGTACATTAAAACAAACCTGATCTCTCTAGGACATTCAGAAGCCAAGTTATAAGCCCACAAAGGTGTAACTGGACTACTTCTTTAAAGTGACACCAGCCCCGGTGACCTTTGGGACATGGTTTGACCCCCTATAAGAATGTGCGATCATCATGAAACGTTCAGATCCCTTACAACTCAATAGATTCTACCTTCCTGTAACGTTTCAGCCTGATTGGACCTTGTTTTCCCACAAATGAACCCAGAATGATGTGAAATTGTGCTTCGTGCAACATAATTCTTGGTGCCATTTAAAAACCATAAGTGCTAATGAATCCAGTCCTTTTTGGGGTAATGGTGGCTGTTAATTGGAGTACTCTAAAACAAACCTGACCTCTCTAGGATATTCAGAAGCCAAGTTATAAGCCCACAAATGTGTAACTGGACTACTTCTTTAAATTGACACCAGATCCGGTGACCTTTGGGACATGGTTTGACCCCCTTAGGAATGTGCGATCATCATGAAACGTTCAGATCACGTACAACTCAATAGATTCTACCTTCTTGTAACGTTTCAGCCTGATTGGACCTTGTTTTCACACAAATGAACCCAGAATGATGTGAAATTGTGGTTCGTGAAACATAATTCTGTGTGCCATTTACAAACCATAAGTGCTAATGACTCCATTCCTTTTTGTGGTTGTAGGGGCTGTTGATTGGAGTACACTAAAACAAACTTGATCTCTCTAGGACATTCAGAAGCCAAGTTATAAGCCCACAAATGTGTAACTGGACTACTTCTTTAAATTGACACCAGGCCCGGTGACCTTTGGGACATGGTTTGACCCCTTATAGGAATGTGCGATCATCATGAAACGTTCAGATCACTTACAACTCAATAGATTCTACCTTCTTGTAACTTTTCAGCCTGATAGGACCTTGTTTTCACACAAATGGACCCAGAATGATGTGAAATTGTGCTTCGTGCAACATAAT